CGCCGAATGTTTCGGCATGAAAACGTACTGTTCCACCGCTGTTATTAATAATATTTATATTTGTATATTAAGAATGTATAAATTTATACATTATCTCTAAATTTTACTATAATATTTATACTTGATATCTTTATTTTTAATATTTTAATATAATTCTTTAATAATTTATAAAAATATGCCTTTTAGGCTTCCAGTACAAAGTCATAATATAATACCAACAAAGAATGAATAATTAGCTTGAAATTTAAAGCCTAAAGTAGGCATCGTTTTCAAAGTATATCTTTCGTTCCATTAAATATTTTTGGAGAAAACAAAGCATGTTATGAACCCTAAAAGAGATACTTTTGAATTCCCCGGTCATGTTAATGTAAAAATAAGCATATACGGAAACCGGAATGCTCGTTAAAATTTATCAAGTTTTAAAAAGTGGGTCTGAAATGTGGAATATTGGTTACACATTCATCGATCAAAGTCATATTTAACAGGACCAAAACATAACAAACAACACCAAAGCCTATCGTCTGCCGTGTTTATATATTTGCGGTCCAACCAAAGGTAGAAGATCTCGATATATACGTGTTGTATCAGTCATAGACGGTTCAATCATTTCAATTTGAGTGGAGAATCACAGTTGGTAGATTTACGGTCAATGACCGATTAAAAATAATAAACGATGTTTTTTATATTTAGGTAAAGAGAGAGGAGGAAGAAGAAGAAGTTAACTCTTTCACTCTATCTTAGTTGAGAACAAACCTAGGATCATAAATTATAGCTATATGTAAACAGACAGGACCAATGAATATAGTTTTCAGATAATAAATTTAAGTTCTAACATATCACATAAGTATGTTAGATCACGTTAAAAGTGTGTTAATTGTAAAAAATATATGATATTCTAAAGATTTTAAAAAAACTTGGAAAGATATCAAATACTATAAATCTCAATGTTAAATAGATGGCAAATAATATCGAAAATATTACCTCTAGAGAAGATCTGAGGAGGTATAACAATACAAGGGGAAACAAAGACAATCCCATACCCCTCAAGCACAGTATTGTAGTGTCCAAAAAGTACTATCCATTGATACAATGTAAATAAATTAAAAACCATTCCACCAATAATGACACTGACATCCCCCCATACCATCCAACAATGGATCGGCCCCAAACAATATTTAAAACTCCGATACCTCTGATTCTCTGCTTTAAAAACACCGTCCTTGATGATTAAAGCTAGGTCCATGACATATCAGACAAACCAGTGTAGCCACAGTGGTCAGCCACTGAACGCACATTTAGCTACATGGTCTAGCCTAGGTAGGATGGTCCAATTATCATGGACTTACATATAAAAGTATTGGGAAATGGATGGATGGATGGACCACCCTATAAAGAAGAAGCCTTAGGGTTTTAATTTTTTTTTTAGAGTTTCAAACATGAAAAGAAACTAATCCCAAAAGTGTGATCTGGTTCAGATGTACAGCCAGGGCTCTCGCAGGTTATCTTTTTTAAAAACTCTCGGCTCTCACCCCCCGTCTTTTCTGGACTCCTCCAATCATTCGTACGAATTCTCATTGCTTTTGTGTGTAGTAAAAAAGAAAACCTTGTCCTTTGTCATGTAATGTAAAACTATTAATTATTTAAAGCTTTTAGGTGAAGATCTAATGAAAGTTACGTAAGGCAAAGGGAGATAAAGTTTATTTCTTTTGGGGTTTCATTATTCGTTTCACTGTGGGAACTGGGAAGTGATGAAGAAGATGAAATCAGACTGAAACCTTGGAGATGGCAAGGGGCTGGGGGTTGTTGCTAACATGCGCGGTGGGTTACAAGCAAATAAAAGCCGAAGCAAAGAGTGACGTGGTCAAGGGGTTTTAGGGTAAGACAAAAAGTACGCAAGCGGCGGAGAAAGCATCTCCACAAGACCACCTGTTTTTAACGGACAAAAATTAAAGCTCTTTTTTTGCTCTAACTTTTGTTTTCATTTCCCCCACTCTCACCCTTCCGCTTGTGTTTTTCATGCCTTACAGATAGCAGCATCTGTTTTGATTTTTGCTTATAAATGAAAATTGATGAAAAAAAGTGATACGCCGCGTCAATTCTATGTCAAATATATAAATATCCATTGATTTTTTTCATTAAAAAACTGTTTTTTAGATGTTGGAAAATAACTTGAAAATGAAATGTTTTGAATATTTGACTGTGCATTTACTACTGAGATATGTAGCGTAAATATCAATTAAGAAATTTGTGGCTAATTAAGTAAATATTTAAGATATTGTTAACAATACTCAAATAATGCAAAGATTCGGGGTGTAAATGAACAAAGCGTTTGATGAGTTATTCGTATAACATTCGTTTAAAATTGTGGCTAATTAAGTAAATATTTAAGATATTGTTAACAATACTCAAATAATGCAAAGATTCGGGGTGTAAATGAACAAAGCGTTTGATGAGTTATTCGTATAACATTCGTTTAAGTTCGTTTGTTAAGCTAAATAAACGAGTATGAACAAAAAAAAATTATGTTAATCTAATAAATGAACGAATACGAATAGAGGTGTGTTCGGTTCGTTTATGTTCACAAACAAGCTCGTTTATAAGCTCGTTCATTTATGTTCATGAACAAGCTTGTTTACTCGGTTCTCCTTTTCCTTTTTTTTACATTTTAAATATTGGTGAAGGTAGGGACTAAATTAATCGTATGGTAAAAGTTGAAATTTAAACTATGAATTTTAAGGAGTTTAAGCACTAGTGACGTAATTTTATCATTTTCTTTAGCTTGCATATGAAAGGGTAAAACTAAAAATTGGACATATAAATGAATGATAAACGAACATGTTCGTAAATGCTAAATGAATATGTTCATGAATATATAAATGAATATGTTCATGAATATATAAATGAACACGTTCGTGAACAATAAATAAACGAACATGAACACCTTTAAAAATAAATAGACAAACATGAACATAATATTAAAAATTTAAACGAACATGAACCGAATATGAACACCTTTGAAAACAAACAAACAAACAAACAAACACGAACATAACCTTATTCGTTCAAGCTCGGTTCATTTGCACCCCTAACCAAGATATACCAAAATAACTCTAATTTATAAATTACGATAATTATTTCTGGTAAAAAGATTTTTATTAGATCTTTCTATTAATCTATAAAAAATTAATCACCGTTAATTTTAAAACAATCAATTATCACATATTTAATTTTTTATTATTTTATATAATTTTGGTTGATATGATAATAAACTTAACCCTTAATATTTATAAATAATATTAATTTGATATTAATTATAAAAAATTCAACCCATAATTTACATTTTTTAGAAGTTAACAATTGAACTTATTTTTTTAAAATTAAGATCAAATTGACATAATATATAAATATTTGTGGCTAGATTTATTATAATGTCAATGAAAATTGTATAAAAATAATAAAAAATTAATTTCATAATTAATTATACTTAATTAATAATTATACACTTTTAAAATTGACAAAAAGTAAAATATCTTTCTTAAAAGAACTAAATTGTTAAATTTCAAATTTATAAAACTTCTTGGAGGTCTTTATAGCAATAATTATTTGTATAAATTTTTTTTTGAACATTTATAGATCATGGAATGTTGGTGAACTTAAGGATATATATATATATATATATATATATATATATATATATATATATATATATATATACATATTCAATTTCTGAAATTTTCTCTAGGGCAACTACGAGTTCACATATATCTGGATTAAATTGTACACTAAATAAATGATGATATGATTTTATCTTACAGTGACACGTCTAAATTGAAACTAAAATGTAACATTAGATATGCTTTTGAAACAAAAATAATAATTGGATGGTCATAACGGAATAAAATAATAGTTGATGCATTAAATTTGTAGTTTACCCTAATAATAATAATAATAATAATAATGGAATGATAGTGTGAGCCTGACAAGTTGAAGGTGCGCGTAGATTAAAGCATACACATTCATCATCATAAATAAAATAGGAAATATAATAAAAACCGATTAAAAAGGAACACATAAATTATTATTTTTTAAATAAGAAAAGAAGATGCGGTCCCATCCCATTGGCAATGGAGTGTGCATTAATAGAGCAATTAATTAGAATTAGATGGAGAATACATTGGACCACCTCTCTCTCTCTCTCTCTCTCTCTCTCTCTCTCTCTCTCTCTCTCTCTCTCTCTCTCTCTCTCTCTCTGTTCACACTCTGTATAGCCTCCCACCTCATTTTGGGAACATTTTCGCACAATTCCATTACACCAGCCAGCCCAACCTAAAATAGAACTTCAATTTTACATAATAATATTGATTAAAAAAATACCTAACAACGAATAAAATACACCTTATAATTACATATTAAAAACTAATAATATTTGGTCCATCATATTTTTTTTATATTTTACAAATTAAATATTCTTTAAAATATAGTATGTATGTGATTGGTTCACAACAGCTGCACCTCACCCTCCAATAAAAGAGCCCTGGATTTAAGTCCTACATAAGGAATTTCTTCCAAAGATCATTTAGTTTTGGCCTTACCTCCCTTCATTTAGGTTTTTTTTATTGAAAATTGATTATTAAAAAGGGAATTAAGAGGTGACGTGGTAGGTTTAAGGTTATTAATATTTTTTAAAATTACCTTCATTTAACACATTAAAAATGATGAAAAATATAATATTTTTCCCTTCATTATTGGCAGCTAAAAGCATTGTTGAATAGTATTTTATGTGATTCATGATTTAAAGTATATTTTTATTTGTTGGTTACCAAATAATTGAGGGAAGTATAGTGTTGTTGATTTTCATAGTTGGATGTCTATTTTGGAGGTATTTTTACATCATAATGCATTGACCCACTTGAGCTATAGAGATAGAGAGAAGAAAAGGCAAACCATAGTGAGAAAGAGGAGAAGAATATTGAGAAACTACGATAATGGCTATATACAAGGGTCATCATCACCTCTATATCCGGGCTATTATTTCTGAATAATATATATATATATATATATATGTGTGTGTGTGTGATCTTTCTTCCTAGGTTTGTATTTTCATGGCAGACCATGTTGGCCTTTTAACACAAGAAGTTTGAGAAGAGCAGCACTTAGCAATTACCTCTCCCTTCTCTTCACCGTCATCATCTCCTTCGCCATCTAAATTCTTCTTCTTTCTTTCCTTCCTGTTGATTCTTTAACAACATAGTTTCAACTTGTTCCCATAACTGGTAAGGCCTCCCTTCTTTTCTTCTCTTACATTAAAGTTTGGTCTAAAAGAAGAAAAAAAATGAAAAACCAAAGTTTTCTCTTTTTGTTTACTTGTATGATCAAAAAGGTATCTTTTTTAAAGTCTTGTTTACAACAGATTGATCTTTGTTTATCAGCTGTTTTTTTTAGCTCCGAGAGCTTTAATTGTTGGTTTTTTATTTTTATGGCTGCCCTTTATTCTTGGAATGAATCTTGATGGAATTATTAGTAGTTGCAGAATCAGCATCAACTTTTGATCAAGCTGGTGGGCAGAAGAAGCATAAACAAAGGAACCGAAAAAGTTGGATTTAAATGGCTAGAGAACTCTGTGAAGATAAATCAAGGAATATTGTTGTCTCATCAACTGGTTTTTGTTACTCGGATGTTTCATCTGGTAACTCAACCACGCAAACACATATGGTGAATCAGATCCAAGGGTTTGAATCCAATCCAGAGATCTTCAATTTGACCACAGGTATGGAGATGATAGGGTTTTCCAAGAACCTACAGCAGCAACAAGGTGACACCAATATGGCCATGTGGAAAGGGTTCTTCAATAAACATGGAAACAACCCAGCAGGCCCTTCTTCTTCTTCCAAGGAGATCAATGAGTCAACTACCGATTTCTATCAACATGAGTTCCACAAACCCGAGTTCACAACTGGGATATCTGAAACTAGTGCAGAGAATCTAATAGTTGGACCAGAGTCGGCTCCTTGGCAAGAAAACAAGTTGCTTGTTGATGATTCTTCTTTGAGGTGTGTGTTTCCTTCACAGAGGCCAAGTCAAGGTCTTTCACTCTCACTTTCGTCGAGTAATCCTACTAGTATCGGGTTGCAGTCTTTTGAGCTTAGACAAACCAGCCACGGTAATCATCAAGACCAGGCAGATGACATGAGGTTTATCGGTTCTAGTTCCAGAGATGGTTTCTTTGAAAAGCCTGCCAATTTACATCATCAAGGGCAGTTCCAGCTGAGGAGCTCTAAGTACTTGGATCCTGCTAAGGAACTTTTGAATGAATTTTGCAGCTTGGGAATAAAGCAGTTTGATGCATCGAAGCAAAAGCAGACCCTTAAGAGCAAACAGTGCGATAATGATGATGATGGAGCTAGCTCTTCGAGGAAGCAATCCCTATATTCCCTTGACTTCTCGGAGTTACAGAGAAGGAAAACCAAGTTGCTTTCAATGCTTGAAGAGGTATGATGTCTTGAAATTCTCCAAAATTCGTTTCTTGAACTAATTCAGCCCCTTGGGGCCTCATGCCCACATGGTGACAATTCTTGCTTTTCATTTACTTTCAGAAACCTCCTATTCCTTTTCATTTTCATGTCAGCGTATTTTTCATCCGCCTATGTATTACATGCTGTAACTCTCATTTCTTTTCATCAACTCATCGTTTTCACCCCTATCCCTTTCTCTCTTTTCATGTATATTTATTTAGGTGGATAGAAGATACAAGGTCTACTGTGGTCAAATGAAAGCCGTCATATCTCCTTTCGAAGTAGTAGCGGGCACCGAGGCTGCATCGGTGTATTCAGCGTTAGCCTCCAAAGCCATGTCGAGACATTTTAGATGCTTAAGAGATGGGATTGTGAGTCAGATTCAGGCCACAAGGAAGGCCATGGGAGAAAAAGACCCGGTTGCACCAGGCACGACAAAAGGCGAAACGCCGAGGCTAAGGGTCCTGGATCAAGCTTTGAGGCAACAAAGGGCATTTCAACAGATGAGCATGGAGAGTCACCCTTGGAGACCCCAAAGAGGCCTACCGGAAAGATCTGTTTCCGTTCTTCGAGCTTGGTTGTTCGAGCATTTCCTTCACCCGTAAATATCTCTCTTAATCTCTCCTTTTTATACGTAAAATACAAACCAGATTTTGCGAGATAACCAATGCTTTCTACCGTGAAAAAAGAAGACAAACTCTTGCAGTTGTTTTAACAGCACTGCAAGTTTGAGTCTCAATCATTTCGCTTGGTAAAGCAATGCAGACTTTGTTAGTTTCTACCCACATGCCGTCTTATTTCAATCATTTTAGTCAGCTTCTCTGTGTTATTTTTATCTGCATTTGATTCTGTCAATATATATATATCTTTAGGACCCATCTTTCTCTCACAAACAAATAACTCAAAAGTACTATCCATGGCGGCAAAGCTTCAGTACTAACTCTGTATTTCCATGAATAAACCTTTTGCAGGTATCCAAGCGATGTCGATAAACATATCTTAGCCCGCCAAACCGGCCTCTCAAGAAGCCAGGCATGTCCACATCCCTCACTATATTATATACATTTGAGTCCCCATGAATAAATTTATATTCTCAATGGATCATATCTTCTTGGGATCTTAAGTTTATTATAATCACATGCAATTATTGCATTTGGCATTGTTCCATATACCAAAATATTATATTATGCTATGCTATATCATCTTATATAATATATACGTGTGTATGATGATGGGTTTTGCTTTATGCTTGTATTCCTAAAGGTATCCAATTGGTTCATCAATGCTAGAGTGAGACTATGGAAACCAATGGTGGAAGAAATGTACTTGGAAGAAACAAAGGAGCATGAGAACTCCTCATATAATGGAGTTCCCGATGGTGATAATAACAATGGAAATGGCCGGTTAAATATTCCATTCGCCGACAAGAAACCCATCCCGGACCAGCTCATTCGTGTTGACTCGGAATGTCTGTCTTCCATTATCACTAACCCTGATAAAAACGATCCGAAAAGTGCCAAAACCCTTGACAACCAGCACTTGCATCATCAACAACAACAAAGTTTTGGAACCTATGGTGCCATGGAGTTGGACTTCGCTTCCTACGGTCACACTGCAGGCGGAGTACCGTTTCACAATGCTAATCAAAGTTTCAACGGCGGCGGCAGCCGCGGAGCTGTGTCGTTGACGTTAGGGTTGCAACAACATGGTGGGAGTGGGGTGAGCTTAGCCTTCCCGCCCGCATCACAAACTTCACTTTTTTACCCTAGAGACCAAATGGAAGACTGCCAACCGGTTCAGTACTCGCTTTTAGACGGCGAGGGACAGCATTTGCCTTACAGGAACTTGATGGGGGCACAATTGCTTCATGATTTGGCGGGATAGCAACCACGGTGACAATAAGAACAAAGCTCAAATTCGATAAGATTGTTGGTGGGGTTCATTAGAATTCTCATCAAATGATGAAAGTAGATAAGTGGTTTAGCAGGTGACATAGATAAATACCGAATACATACATATATATATATACATAACGCTACACTTTGGTTCAATGAAAGATAGTTCTTTTCAATTTTAAGAACATATTTATCTTAATTTGCAAAGTAAATATGGGATTTCCCAGTTATTGTTGCAAAGGTTATACATAATATATCCTTCCTCTTTTGGGTGGTATCCATTTAATTGCAAAAGCTTTAAGTTATTATTCTATCTATATATCTCTTTGCGTAAGCCCAAGTGATTGAGTTGTTTGTGGTTATTGTTTAAGTTGAACTTTCAAAATGTTTCATTGAGGATAATCTAAGATATTTTTATTCTTTTTTTCCCTTTTCTATAAAGACAAATTAAATTAGCAAACACAATTTGGTTGGGGGGTCCTTAGTTTTGGAGACTAAGACAATCCCACCATAAGAATTATCGTTTCCAGTTGTTTGTGGCCCCTAATTCATCTTCATGAAAGACGATGTTTCATGTCCATAAGAATTGCCTGCTTTATTATTTGACAACTTTGGAATGGTTTATGCTACTGCTTTTGCCAATAAAAAAGTGCCCCTACTCACTTCCTCTTTAGTTTTAGTTTGATTCTTGGTTATGGATAACAGTTGTTCGAATCCGAATTCTCTGAAAAACAATACTTTGTTTTACCACTTAAACTGTACCATTAGCTTTAAATAAACTCAAATTCCCAAAAATCTATTTTTAGGTATGGTCTAAAATTCATAGCTAGATATCCAAGGAAGGAAGAAGTTAATGCATGAAGATTGTGCCCTAATAAGAAGTAGAATCCCTTTTTCTTCCTACTGCTGCCTTAAACAAAATAGGCAAAGTAATCTAGTAAACCCACGGGAGATTAGCTCAACAATCCACTCCTGACATAAATGCTCATTTAATTTGCTTCAAATTAAAGTGAGATACAAAGAGGAAAAAAAAGAAGGGTTTCGAGTAATTGCTTGTAATATCGTAATAATGACTGCAATAATAATAATATTGACGTCTATTAACTTGATTTTTACAGGTAAATGTTTTAATCATTCTTTTTAGAAAAACCCTTTTCAATGTTATTAAAATGTTTTAATCATTATTTTTTAATTGTGAAAATAAAAAGATTGAAATGCATGCATATATACCTAATTTGCCTTTTTCATCTGAAGTTGACGTACTACGAAAAGCATTATTCTTGGAACGCAAAAAAGAAGAAGGCATTTATTGCTTCTTCTTCTTTTTCTTTAGGTTCAAATGCTCACAGCTGTTGCTGGGAGTGTAAGGAATAAATCTGGATTTTTGACATGGTTTTTGTTAACTCCATATGTTGTGGAGCTCCAAAAAAATTCTTTGCTTTATAGAATATTTGTACGTTAAAGATATTCGCTAGAATTTCTGCAGTGAAAGTTGTAGTAATATATTGAGAGCTGAAAAGGACATACCTCAATTTGATTTTTGTTTGGTGATAGAATCAAAATTTTAAAGGAATCTCTAGGATAAATCCATGGCTATGTGTTAATTTCACGATGTGAAAGGCATGCCTGTTTCTTTCTAACCGGTAGGGTTATAAATGAGCAGAGTGTTTGACAAACTATTCGTGAACCGTTCGTATAACATTCGTTTATTAAGCTAAACAAATGACTATGAACAATTTTTTTATGTTCATTTAATAAACAAACGAATACAAATGGAAGTGTATTTGGCTTGTTTGAACAAGATCGTTCACTCGGTTCTCATTTTCCTTTTATTTTTATTTTACATTTTAAAAGCTGGTGAATGTAGGTATTAAATTGAACATAAGGTGACTTTTGAAGTTTAAATTGTGAAGCCTAAAGAACTTAAAGACTAATGGTGTACTGTCACCATTTTTTTGGCTTATATATAAAAAGGTAAAAAGAGATTGTTGTTGTCAAACGTTAAACGAACATGTTCGTGAACATTCAATGAACATATTCGCGAATGTTAAGTGAATATGATGGTGAATGTTAAACGGACAAACACAATCACTTTCAAAAATAAATAAACAAACATGATACTGAAAATTTAAATGAATACGAACAATATATAAAACACCTTAAAAACAAGCAAACAAACATAGATTTGTTGTTCAAATTTGATTCATTTACACCCCTACTAATCTGTTTTTTTTTTCATATCCACCATGCATGTTTGATATTTATATGTAAACCTTAATTAGGTTAAACTGTGCGTGAATGTTTTAGCTAGCAATATAGTAGTATTTTGTGCAGAATCACATGATGAGAGGGGTATACGCTAAAGCATTAGAAGCTTTTCTTTTCTTTTTAATTTTTTTTTTGGAAATTGAGGCTCTGCCCAATTTGCTCCATCTTATATATATATATATATATATATATATATATATATATATGCTTCAACTTGTTGAACAACTTGGTAAATATTCTTCTTGTTATGAGCGTTCTTGATCACCGAACTTTTCTGTGTGTTTTCTCTCATCATTGTGCTCCATCTGTAATGTTCAATCAACACTTCAAAGTCAAATATTTAAGTCCCGGAATATTCTTTGTGAGAAGTCCAATATTATCACCAGAGATGACAACCCCGATGGCCGGAGATCAGATGGATGTGTGTGAGTGAAGGTGAGCGGCGCTAGAGTTCGATGAGCATTTATAGCCCAAATTAACTAGGGATGGGCATGGTTGAGTTGGAGTCGGATTTCCGATCAAATTGATTCGACCCTAAAAATATACACATATTTATAAAAATATATTTATTTTATTTGATAAAAAATAAGGAAATGATTGAAAAAAGTAATATAAATATGTGTATTATTGCAATTATTTCTAAATATATTAGATATAATTATATTATTTTTTAAATCGAGTCGGATATGATGTTTTTACCATAAACTCGAATTTGACCAGATTTAAACTTATACTCTAAAAATCCGACCTGATCCAAATTCAGATTTTAAAAAAATTGACCGAGTAAGATCAAATTGTATCGAAATCCATCGAGTTCGGAACTTATGCCCATCTCTAGGCCAAATGAGAATTCCAGTAATGAAAACATAAACTTAAGTTTTATTATTATTGAGCATTTGTAGACCAAATGTATCAGCCCAATAAACCTAAGACAGACTAATTATCCCAGCTAGCTAATAGTTGGACCTAAAAAACCAAGCCCGAAAGACTAGTAAACCCAACAGATTAATCTAACAAACTAACAGTAATTTTAACAATTTTTTACCAAACTTTTAACTATTTATTGGATCATCAATCATCATCAAACTAAAGTGTCTTCTGTTGTTCTATCAGTTCATATTTCTGTAAAGAGATCTTTAAGTCTCACAAAATCAAATTTATATATTCAAAAAAATTGTCAAAAAATTTATATATTCAAATCACGAACTCCAATGATATCGGTGGTAAAAGTATTATTGTCATTCCTTAAAGTTTCGAGTTCGAGCACTAGGAACGTCAGGGGTTCGAGCACTAGGAATGTTAGGGGTTCGAGCGATCAAAGTCAAAAAATTGAGAGTTATCTTTAAACAAACACAAAAAAAAAGTCAAAGTTCTAAGTGTCACCATTGGATCAATCTCCCCTTTTAATATATATTTTTTGTTATGAGTTTTTCTCACTATTTTTTAATAGTACGATGTGATTATAAAATGGTATATGTTCATAATTTTTTTAATTATTTATAATGTATATATATTTTATAAACATAATTATTTAAATTTAAATCTTCTAAAAATAATATAATTTTTATTACGGAAGTTACTTTATAAGTTTTAGATGAAAACTTTAATGTAAGTAGGTATAAGGCTGGTGATGATTGCTTATGGTACTCTGACTGTTATGCTGCGAATTTTGTAATTGGAAATAGCAAAAGTAAGATTCAAGCACATCCCTTTCTAATTTATGTGAAAAGTAAAACGTTATGCTTCACATTAAAGAAAAAGAAACTTGAAAGGCACTATGGAAAAACATGTAAAAGTTTAGGGCATTTTATACCATTTTGTCTTATATATATTTAAAACCCAAGAGATTTTAAAATTAGGATTTGGCTCATTAATTATTATTTTTTAAATATCTAATCTTTCAATAAAATTAAAACTTTATTAATTTATTTTTTAATATTTTAATTAAGTCATTTTCTAATTTTCTAAAATTCTCATTAAATTTTAAAAAAATTAATTTAATCGTTTAAAACTTTGAAGTCAACTGTCTCAAATTATTTTGTCAAAATTTGTCTTTATTTTGACCATTTTATAAATAAGTTGAAAATCATGATGTAATTAGGGATGAACATTTGAGTGAAATTTGCCGATTTTAATTTGATGAAGTTAATCTTTATTTTGAAAATTAAAGTTTAAATCAAATTGATTTTTTTTTTAAAATATGAGATTGAATTTGTGTTTTAGGTTAAAAAGGTTAAATATTATGATAATATTATAATTATCTTTTATATATTTAAAGATAATTACAATAATATTTCTATATTATTTTCAATCAATTTTTCATTTTTATAATAAAAACAATTTTTATATATACTTGAATCTAATGGTTTTGAATGTGAGCTTTGATTTAAAAAAAACTCAAGTCAAACTTCAATTTGAAGAAGATTTTCATAAATTCGAATCAAATCGGATATAGATTGACTGGTGAAGCATCATGAATGGGATTGTTATGCGATTGTCGAGTGGCACTCCACTGATCGCGTGCTCCGGCAATTTGGTTTTGTACAACAAATTCTGGAAGCACCTCGCAATATGGACGAGTTACATAACACAGATTGACGTGGCATGTCGGATATAGATTGACTGGTGAAGCATCATGAATGGGTCGTGACGTGGGAGGATCGACATCGGCGCCTTCCCCATAGAGAGCCCATTTATGATGACCTCTTGACGGTTGTAGATGATTATTATGAGTGGTTCAACAGTAACAGAAAATAGTTTCTGCTTTTTGATGAT